AAATCCTATGTACCTATTTCATTTAAGATATCTTATATCCCATAGTGAAACGCCAGCTTTAGAAAATGCTTAAAAATATGCAGTAAATTTTATAATTTTAATCCCCAGTAAGCTATCGAAGGTTCTCGGTTCTTACCGTGTGCAATATTAAGTCAACGCGATATATGCAGTTCGGAATAATTATTTCAAAGCAAATGCACCTTGATCCGCTGATAAACTACTTCACCTTTATTTCACATGTTAACTAAGCTTGAGCTGAGCAAACTGATTTGCTAATGTTCACAAGACGCACAGCATTGCAGGTGTAACGGAAACATCAAAAAGAGCTAAGCTTGTTCAGATTTCTAAAATTTAATTTCTAAGAAACTTATTGAAATCGGATTGAAAACAAAAAAGTTACAAGTGCTTAAACTTTGTATGGAAATAGCTGAGCGTGACTTCAAATGTCACCCCACCCGCCCATAGCCATAGTATAGTATGAGACTGTGCGTGTCGTTTTTACATGACCAATGACGTCGTGAGATCTCTAACGCCTATATTTATTAGGTATCTTTTGAAATTTTTGTTAAAGAAAAGCACTGATTGATTTGTGAATGCCAAGGCTACTGAAACGTGAGAAATAAAAAACCTTGCATATTTCCTAGTGAGATACCTGCCACTCATAGGGTTCATAAAATATTCGGACCACATGCAGTCGCACGTTTTGCATGAACCTCGATCGCGTATTTCGAAACACATTATTATGAGATACTATGAGCTTACAGGATACGTACATAATTATGTAGGTATAATATACTCGCGCGCTATCTTAACATCTCGCGATTCGAAACACGCGAGTAAAAACGCGTCATCTGGCCCAGCTAGCTACTCGTAACAAGGCAAGTTTATTTCCACTACGACGGCGGAATCAAACAACTTTTCTAATTTTCTTAAAGCTCACGTTTCAATACAAATGGCAATCAAATTAACAATGTAGGTCTTAAGTGAAATCTAACACGCGTTTGTTTATTCGCTGTAAGTAGGTACACTACGCTGAAATGAGAATGTAGAGAGAAGTGTAATGGATGCTAAACTAGTGTGTAATTGAATCTTGTGTTTTACAGCGAACTCCTTAATTAGTTTATTAACCCCTCCGCCTTGTTAACGCATCTAGGTGAGTAAGATTTGACAAGATTTTCCCATAATTCCTGAAAAGATATCTTAAGAAATCCGCTATATGCGAAATTTGTAGGTACTCCTAAATGCCATAAGGACTTCAAGAGTCTATTCGGGCATCGCAAAAATCGATATTTCAAAGCAATTTCGTTCTAGGAAAGTGTCTGAATATATTATTAGGGGAAGTGTGAAAATAGCACCTGCGTCACAAAAGGGTGTGGAAATTGGACATATGCATTCTTGAAGGTCTTCTAGCCATTTAAATGTCGACTTGCCCTAGGCTTGCCTACTTATATTGATGTTGTTATTATAAAAACTTTATTGCACACAAAAATTGCAGTACAATCTCTGTCATGCGATCGAATTTTTTTTAAAATCTGGACAATTTCACACAGCTTCAGCTAGCCCCAAAGTTATAGTGAAAGTTACCTTACGTAATGTTACTCTTTTATACACTGTTGAGAACCAACAAAAGAGGTTTTAATGTTTTTTTACTTTTTTTTTACAAAACAAAATAAAATCACTACTTCTTCACTTTGACAGCTAAAAGAAAGTCGTTTCATTTATACATTTTATCTACATTTTAATACATTATTCAGTAATTCATACATTTTATATTTAATTTATGTCATAAGCAACATAAATTTGGTGCCGAAACCCGGGACATCACTTACATTGGTTATTTTGTGTGCTGCTGGAAAATTATCCCGAGGGCCAACGCCGGCATAGTTGCCGATTGCAGTAGGTATAATGGCTACCCAGGTTTGTGGTGACACTAACCAAAAGACCAAGCTTTTACAAGGGCAGTGCAAGGCCGTTATAACACGATGTGTTACCTTTTTGAACAAGAAGACGGACCCGAGTGCTTTCGAGTTGACGAACAGAAGGAAAGCAGTAGAAGAAGCGTTCGCGCGCTACAACCAGCTGGCGGACGAGGCCATTCTGCAAGGCCAGGAGGTGTTGGACGGTGACGAGGAGTTCGAGGACCGCTATTACGATGTCCTCTCCCGGATCGACGCTCTTCTGGACCGCCGCAGCAGTGCTTCGCCGCTGGGGTTTGCGAGTGCCGTGGACGCTTCGACGCCGCTGTTCGAGACTACGAGGCTGCCTCCGATAGAGATCCAATCGTTCGACGGTAACAACGTCGGTGCATACAAGCCATTCATAGAACTTTTTATGGCACTCATAGGCAAAAACTGTAAGTTGTCTAATGTTCAAAAATTATTTTATTTAAAGGGCTATTTAAAGGGCGAGGCTTTAAGTCTTATAAATAATTTGCCTCTCATAAACAATTGTCCGCCTTTGCAATGGCCAATGGGTAGAATAGAAAAGATTTTTGCTGGACCTGACAACATGATTAGAGTCGTTAATGTAAAAACCAGTAAAGGTTCCTATAGGCGGTCAATTTCTTCTATAATTGTTTTACCAGTCGATTGAATTTTTAGTTTTACAAGGTTGTTATAATTTATGTTACAATTTGAAAATTTAATTTAAATAGTAATTGCAAGTATTAATTATTTTCATTGTAAGGTTAATTATTTGTTTCATATTTATTCATATCCATTAAGATTAATTTTTATGCGTGTCGCGCATTTATTTCGCGCGCGAAACTATGTTGAGAACCAACAAAAGAGGTTTTAATGTTTTTTTACTTTTTTTTTACAAAACAAAATAAAATCACTACTTCTTCACTTTGACAGCTAAAAGAAAGTCGTTTCATTTATACATTTTATCTACATTTTAATACATTATTCAGTAATTCATACATTTTATATTTAATTTATGTCATAAGCAACATACACTTATATGGATTAGACACTGTATAGTTACCTAATATCTATTGTTTATATACAGGGTGTTAGTAGGTAAATGGGTATATGAGCCGACACTAGCCCATGTTAACATGGGCATATAAATGGTATGGTGAAGTCAGAAATTTGATATCCTCATTTTAATTTTTTAAATTTTCATACTAAATAAATTTTATAAATCCAATTTGTATGAAATTTTTTTTTTTTTTTTAATTAATGCTCATGTGCTACCTATATTTCAACTGTTTCAATACTTAGTATATTTTGCAAAACGCGATTCGCAGGCGAAAACGCTCGTGATTAAAAATGTTACTCCTAGAAAAATGACCGGCCATGGAAACCATAAAATCAACTCATAATTTGAATGGTGAAAAGAGCATCCAACATACTGCCCCCGCAGGAGTGGCTTAATTAACTGTTTCACCGGTAGTATAAGTACATATGAATATTACAAAATAGTTAGCGTTGTTGGTATAGACGACCGCACATCACAGTAAGTCCTGGCATCCAACAACTGGTAACAAGTCCGAATTTGCAACAAAATTTGTAAGCTAACGAGCTGTTGCGCGTACGATACAATTAAATACACACAATGGAGTCTGGACTATTCTATTAGCCCCCGAGTTTTTAAGGGGTTAAATAGAATAAAACATTGACGGGACTCTCGAACAGAACATCGGATCCAAAAATGTTATTGGAAAAACAATAGTAAATCTGGTTATTGTTTGAGAGACCACACGGAACGTTTGTTAACTTATAATAATTTGATGTGGAAATCCGCTTTCATTTTACCACCCTTTCTTATTCCCGTTGGAATTGACGTGGAATGTATTGTATTGTTTATTATTTTCCATAGAATAATACCATTGGAATTTTTCCGGTACGATATGCTGAGTTGACAATTGTGAATTTTTCAATGGCCAATTTTATTGGTAAAGTGCGGACTCGCCCGGTAGATTCAATAACGGAATATTGTACTTACTAAAATATGATGCGAGTCCATGAAAGCTTTCAGGAATCAGTACTATGAAAACTACATCTACCTACCTAACAAATAAACATTAGGATAACGTAATCTATTATAAACGTTTTCATATTTTGACACACGTATCAACTCTCTACCTCAGGTGTGTTTTGTTTCTTTCTATGTTCTGTGGCTTTAACCGACTTTATTTGAATAAAAACAATATTCGAAAGCTGTTCAAAGGAAGAAATAGTCGATATTGCAGAAGATGTGTGGAGAGCTGAAGGGAACCAGTTATATTATTATCTTTTAGCGATTTGTTATAAAACTTATCAAACCACTTATTCGTGTAAGCATAAAGTTTGAATAAAAGGGTAAATAACCAAACTAGTCTAGTCAATGAAGGGGTTTGAAGGTCCCATTTATCGATATTTCGCTTAATTTCGGAAACTGTGCGTCCAGTGACATGACTACTATGAACCAAAAAAGCTATTGTCAAGTTTTTCTATATCTTGTATAGTTTTCGATACATCTGCTCTAAGCGGTCTGCAATATTGGATTTTCTCTTTGTCCCTCCCCGCTGGCTCAAGGGCTAAAGGCGGGGGCTTTTGATGTGTTCACTTCTTAACTAGTCTAAATAAAGTCCCTCTACACCGTCGTTAAAGCATTCCTTGACTGGAATAAACCTATTTTCTACTGCATTCTGTTCTTCGAGGATTAAATTAATTCTGTTAGGTTCTATTGGAATTCAATTAAATCAGAATTGGCAGCTGTAATGTCCGTGAATTATTAAATTAGTAGTAATATGCAATGATGTCTAACGACGTAAGTATAACAATGTAAGGGAAAATGATGCAAAGTAAACCCATCCCATTGCTTTAGAGTTTAGAGCCTACTTGTTTTGTTTACAACCCTTTATTTACGACCATAAAGTCCTACATGCAACCTTTTTAACCACGACTTCTTAAAATCATAAACCATAGAAAAAAGAAACAACTGTCACGTCTGACATTGGGGACAAACAACCTATTAAACATCCACAACAACAGTTACCTATTTTCCTACTTATTTACAAACAGCTAGCAATTAAAACAGAGTCTTATTTACGCTAACTACATTGGGCCCGGGGCAGAATGTTGTCGCTAATGAACGGTCGGAGTTACAGATTACTCCTAAAGAAAATATTGGATTCCAATAGGTGAGCTTACGAACTTTTTTATTATACTAATTGGCCTGGCGAACCGCTACCCGCCCTGGTGGTCATTGATATGGTACCTACAACGCCGCGGACTATTTGTTGTTTATTATCTAATAAACAAAAAATAGCGTAACAATAGGTATCTGCATATACTAAAAACATTACCCTTTTTTGGGTAGTCAGGTAGCTACCTCGATTACTAAATTTCAGCATCATCTGTCCAGCCGTTTTCGAATTATCAGTATTCGAACAAACCTGACATTTTTATAGATAAGCTAAGACAACATTTTATTGGGGGTACGAAGTTCGCTAGGACAGCTAGTACCTAATTAAAAAAGAAAACGATTAAAATAGCTACTAAAATAGGTACTAGGTATTCTTTCATTGCATTACTGATCGTTCAAGTGAACATTTTAATTACAAATTTTTTGTAGAATTTTCATAAAGGTTCCTTATCCTATACCAAAAGACCAATCCTTACTTATACTGCAGTCAGTGTGCTTAGATTAATACTGAGTGTGTTTTGTAGCAAAAGTTAATCATAAAGGGAGCGAAATAGGAGATGAAACTTAGTATGGAGAAATCATATGTAAACTCACGAACTTTGAATCTTTAGAGATCTTCATTTCGTTTCTGTGAATGCGTCTAAATAGTTAGTAAGACATTTAATTTCACCATTTCTAAAGCATGGTCAGTTTTCATATTACACATTAGCCATTCAAAAGACGTCTTAAGCCTAATAAGATTTTAAACTTTCGCGTTCCATTTCAACTAAGACAGTGAAACGGGTCCCAACTCAACGGGACCAGTCTGCTTGGTGTGAAACATCAAGCCGTGAGTAGGTACATAATGTAACTCGTAAAATGTCACGTTGAACCCCGTGTTTCTTTATTTTAGTGTTTAAAGCAGTCTCGCAGGTTACTAAAATAGAGTTGTTCGCACTACTTTTTTGATCAGTAGTGATTAGTTCAGTTATGTCGATATGCTCTACTAAATCACTCGACTAGTGCGAACAAGCCTTAAACGATATGTATGAGTAAAGACATACCTAATGTGTATTCCCACGTGCATTTGGTTGCAAAGCAAAATCAATATAATCCCTTAAAAACAACCCTAGCCCTATCTCCATAGCCTATAATAGTTCTTTCGTCAGGTATTAATTAACACTACGCGGAACACGATGTGTCTACAGCTCGGTTGAACAATTACGAAAATCATTATTTGAAACACGGTCTACTAATTGCGTAATTAATTGACTGCAATAATGAGGTTCTTTTAACTTAAAACTGAATTGAATGAACGTCAATATTCCAATGAATGTTACATTGTTATAAAAATTGGTTCACATATTATTTTTGTCCAAAATATGTCGTGCCAAGTTCTTTGTTAAAAATTGTTTTTGCCGTGAACCTATCAGTCGAGCAATCGCATAATAATCGGCAATATTTCTTTTGACTATTTTAACATTTATTTTGCAATATCAATAATTCTGATAACCTTATCAAGTAGGTTCTTTTGGTTTCAGGGTGTGTCACACAAATGTCCAAGTGTGTCCACCATTGGTGACCAAGGTCGCTTGCCAGCCCAGCAAGCCGGCGGGCGATTCGGGCTGCGGCGCCGTTGCTCAAAGTGGCTCAGATGGCTCTGGCTCTAAGGTAAAAACGCCTAATTGCTTAAAGTTTTAGGTCTATAATTGCATTTCAGGACACAGCGTTTTACTAGAGGTCTATAGTTGGAGTGGATGTAGCCAATGAGCACAAATTGAAGTGTCCGGCCGGCCTAAAAACTTTCAAAAACATGAAAGTGAAAAATTCTGAATTAACGCTCGTATTCACAAACGATGCTTGCTTAAGTGAAGCAGCATCAGTGATTGGTTAGTGTGTCACCCTGTGCGTCCACGTCCACATACTTGATTAGGAGATGAGCACGCTTAAGCCAAAAAACTCAATACATATACCGGGGAATAAAGAGCCATAATTTGCATAGTTTTTGTTCTGTAACAGTCGCGGTGGAAAGCTAACATTTGATCCTTACTTAACCCTTAATTTCCATCGTGGAATAAACTTCCACCATAGTTATTTTTGTAGCGAAGTTAGCAGTTTCGCGCGAACGCGATCCTGAAGGGTGGCGCGTGGTAATTATTAGTTTTGCTGTGCAATTATCGTGGATTTTCCGCCTATGTAATTTAATATGTTTGAACAGCTTACTTATTCAATGCACTTTCAAAGTTGTTTCATTGTTTTCGTTAAATTGACTTAATTTAAGATTATTATTCTTGAAGGCAGTAAAAATAAAGTAGATTGGGAGGTTGAGAAACTCACTCTCATTTTAGTATATTTAAGAAGGATTTTGACGGCAAATTACTCGCGAATTATGAATCCTGTATTTCTATTAGAAGAAAATTATTCTCTGTTTTCTGAATTATGTAAATATTTATGATTGATTAACTCATGTAAATTTTAAGAACGTTTAATATTATAAACTGACTTTTGAAAGGGGCTCAAGTAACCAATTAGAATTTTATTATCAACGGGATTGCTACCATGTACCTTATTTCTCCGTTATTATGAGTTAGTTATTGCTCCGTGATCATGGCGCTTGCAGAAAAAAGGTAGCATGGTAGCAATCCCTTCAATTATTTTAATGTTAGTGACCATTAAAGTTTAAAACAATCAAGTGATCAAGTTTTACAGGGCAAGCATCAGATCACGTTCAAGCCGTACGTGGCGCCGTGCTACAAGGACCACGACGCCAAGAACATGGGGCTGAAGCGGCCGATGTCCCCCCACTTGACCATATACGCGCCGACTATGCCTGCGATGACGTCCATCTTGCAACGAATCACTGGTAGGTACCGCCCTATTTTTTTTTCAAACTCCTACATAATGAAATGGGGATTAATTTTTAATCCTCCTGCATCATTATTTATCATATATTTTGGTCTATGGCTAAAGAATGAAACGTTTTTTGTCAAATTATCTAAAAAAAAAAACATTCCTGCAAAATAAAAAAATCTGGGTTTTTCTCGATAGATTTTGTCCTACTGTTTGTAAACTTGCACGGCTGCTATGTAAAATCGATATTTCAATGAAAACTTTAGCGGTCTCTATCAATAAGAGGCGATTATGCTACTAATAAAACCATCATGGCAATAAAGACAACAGTATAAACTCAATCAATTAGCTAATCACTGGCTAATTGCTATGCACTTGCCATTACATTTTTAGCATTATCCCGTTGTCGTAAGGGCTAAATGAATGAACATTTTTAATCTGCCTGCTTGTCAAAGGGTTAATCTGGCTGTAGAAAGAGAATCAGTATTGCAATCGAGGGGAAGCCGCTTGTGTTGCCATGTCCTCGGGCAAAGAAACATTTTTAATCAAGTTAATCGTCTACTCTCATTTCATTTTAACATAATTAATAACACTTATTGTTATAAAAATGAACTAAATTACACGATGTCATGATATTATAATGTACCTTGTTACTGGTTTCAATAGTGTAATTGGTGCTACCGTTCTATTAACAAATAAATAATAATATGACGAGCTTTAATGAACCTACATTTACATTTTCCAGTAAAATTATTATTTTATGCCTTAATTTATTTCCACGCAGCTTTCAGGTTTTTTGCCATACTAAAGGTGTGTCACCCATTCCCATTTTATGAAGAACCTGATGTAAATTTAGTTCCATACACGTGATTTCTCATGCTCTGATGAGTAATGTAGAGTTTTCATTAAGTAGGTATACGGTATACCTTGCAAGATTCATTGCAATTTTTCATTAGAAACCGACAATCGGTCGGACTTCTTTTGAAAATTGTGTTATCCTCCTCATTGTTTGATAACAATAATTAAACTTCTGTTTGCAATGATCGTAATGTACAGTCAGCCAAGAAATGTTGTTCCTCATTCTATTTGCAAGGTAAAATCCAGGCTTAAGTGAAATGAAATGAAAATGGGTAAGAACTATTCACCCCTCAGGCGACCAATTAAGTGGCGATCCCATATTATCCTCGTCAGTAGCTCTATTTGTAAAAGTGAAAGAGATAGAATAGTTACTTCATCATCTACGGCAGTGGTTCCCAAACTTATTTAGTCTACTGCCCACTATGAGAATAAATTATTTTTAGCGCCCCCCATTTTTGTAGTCAAGAGTCGAGCTCAGTCCTCCTAGTAGACGACGCCTCCCAAGCCTCTAGACAACGTCCCGATTTTTTTTCTGGGTCTCTTACCGCCCCCCTTTAAGCCTGCAGCGCCCACAAGGGGGCGTTATCGCCCACTTTGGGAAAGACTGATCTACGGCAACAAAAGCCATGGAGAGAGGGAGATCCTTAAAATTAAAATTAAATTAAAATTTGTTTAGTAACAAAATATTTACAAAAAAAAATGTGTCGAGGCTTCCCAGTAAGTAATCGAAGATCTTTCCATCTTTCCAAACGATAAACAAAATTACATAGTTTTTATGCAAAATGCACTTTGTAGTACATAAGAGTGAGTACTAATATGTGATGTTCATCACTGATGCATGCAAAATCCTTAAATAATTGTAAACGTCCAAAACAATTCGACTTCAAGTTCATGGCAAGCTTCCTTAAAAATTTACCGAAATAAATTGATCCACTATTGGTGACAAAATTGATTTAACCGTTAAATTCACACACAAACTTATGAAGGAATACACAGGAAAAGTTTCTGTCAATTTGTTAGTTTCATCGCACATGGTCGACAGCCTGCTGCAGTTGCTAACAGATTGCAAATCAATAAATAAGACTATGTCAAATAATAAATAAATAAATAATAATAAATATCTTTGGACATTTTACACTGCGCCTCTAGTCCCAAACTAAGCAAAGCTTGTACTATGGGTACTAGACGACGGGATAAACATACTTATATACTTTTTTTTTTGTAAATACATACATATTATACATAGAAAACACCCAGACCCGTCACAGAAATTAAAATTCATCATTTCAATTTCTGCCCGGCCGGAAAATAATCGAGGACAAGTGGACGTTGAGACATATTATTGCCTTTCTTTTCAAGAAGAGTACCGTGGAATTTATTGACTCGTGTCTATTCACTTTGTTACTTTAGAGCGCTTTCATATTTAGGCGATTTAGCAGCGCGACAAACGCGCGACAGACGCGCTGCCGAATTTTTCATACTACACTAGCTTTCCGCCCGCGGCTGCTTCGCCCGCGTGCAATTTTGTCTGTCACAGAAAACCTTTATCGCGCGGCTATAAACCTCACGAGAGCCCGAAACCTTTCTAACGAATGCAAAACCGTGGAAATCGGTTCGTGCGTTCTGGAGTTATAGCGTCAGGAAGGAAAACCCGACTTATTTTTATACAGTAGATAATTATCTGACAGCGGATGCATGCCTTCACATTATAAATGAATGCCTCTGCCGCGCTGCAGTCGCGCTACTAACGCCCTAATGTGAAAGCGCTCTAGAGTATTGTCAACTTTTCTACAAGAAATAAGTATAATGCATAGAAAATCAGCCCTGGTAGACTTCAGAGACAATGCAATTTTAATTAACTAAATAACAAAGGGGGTTGCTTGCAGTCATTCCAATAACTAAGATAAAATCAATACTATTTTTAAAGGTTTTGTTCCTAGAAAGAAACAATGCTGGTTTAAAGGAAAATTCTTTGCTTTTTCCATGAGGGTTTTGTTCAGAGGCTTAGTGCCATTAAGGTGGGTATTAGTGTAGGTTTCTCATCGTTTTTGTAGTGTCCTTTATGTCTCTGATATCTGATATATCGGATCTGTGGTAATGGGTTTATTATAACCATACCATGTTTCATACATGTAACAGGAGATGTTTTTCACTGCATTGTCCCTCTATTATGTACTGAAAGGATCTTGGGCAAGCTAATAATGATTTTATGTCACCCTTCTTCAGTTCGATGCTAAGGCTACATTTACACTCATTTCTAAAGGCAGAATCATTTCCCGACACTGTAAAGCTAGAATTTACCAAAATGATTTTACTTAATAAATGTATTGTCTGTGTTACCGTATGTTACCGTATATCGAAAATAAAAAAATACGCTATGCCTACACGAATACTTAGTAGATAATGCGACAAATAATTGCGAGTCAAAATAAAACATAGGACCAACATCATGTGAAAAACCTATAAAGGCGACGCGATCAGTCTGCGTCTGCGATGGCGATGGCGATGGCGATGGCGATCAATGCGTTGAAGTCTGATCGCCATCGCCATTGCCATCGTACACGCCGGCTGCATGCGCATATGCGTTGGTTTGGCTGAACCTTAATTAAAATAATGAATTTATTTTCAGGTATAATAGCAACATTTTACGCGTGTATGCTCTCAGCGGGAACATTGTTCCTTTCAAACGGGGTGGAGTCCTACGTGTCCATGATCCAAAGCCTGGACCTCTCCAGGCCGATGATCCTGCTCATCAAGGTCCTCGCGGGCGCACCCTTTGCCTACCACTACTTCTTCGGCATAAGGTTCTGCATTTGGAACTCGGGAAGGTGGCTCACATTAAAAGATGTAAATTCATCCGTAAAACCTTTGTTTATAGCAACCGCTGTCTCAATGTTCTTTTTCGCGATACTTTAGATAAGTGAGTTCAGGATCTGCCTTTGATTGGCTCTTTAGTCAACTCATCCCGCTTAAAACTCATCCTGCAGGATGAGTGGATTAGATCATTTAATTATTCTTTCTAAGTCAACTGATCTCACTATAAAAAAAAGAAAATTTAAGTACACACGTGAGCAAAAGTCTTTAGAGAAAAAAATGACACACCGTGGTTTTGTTATACTGATATAAAAAAAATCACTTAAATCTACTGCTAAACACTTTTGTTCGTGACTATACAAATCATAAAATGCATCAGTGGGATCAGATGCCCGATTCAAAACATTCCTTAGGTCAACTCATCCCGCGGGATGAGTTCAAGCGGCCTCAGTTGACTAAAGATCCTTAGATTTCATGTGCCATTCTGAGTCTGTATTTTATTTTACTTAAGAATCGTTCCTTAATTGATATTAGATAGTTATAATGAAAATCGACGCTGAGGCCGAGGAAATGTAGCGAGATTAGCTATTTTCTTAGCCTGTAGTCGTTGCGTTTTATTTTCGTAATAAAAATTTTTTTAAACAAAAGGTATTTTGTATGGTTGTCCGTCGTTGTTCACGACTCATTTCTTTCTTCCCCGCCCTGCAAAAGGTACAAAGGAGTGGTAGGGTATACCTACTCTATTTTTATTCACTTTGGAAAATAAACTTTAAAAGCCTTCTCCTATAAGGCCCGGTTTTTTGATTCGTAGTTAAAATAACCAATGGTCAAATTTGACAGATGTCAAATGACAAGTGGTTAAAAATTTCAGAAAAAAATGTTTTTCGAACAATGGTTAGCTTGACTTTTAGTACATTTTTTAAACTATTATTTACATTTTGTTCATATTTAACCATTAGTAGCAAAATTTGTCAATTACTTATTTTAACTATGAATCAAAAAAACTGGGCCTTAGTCGTTAACTTAAGGGTTAACATCATTGAGAAAAAATAAATCGGGCCAAAGCACACCTATCCGTATTTTATAATAATTTTGATCGTAGGTAAGGTACGTATGATATTGATAGATGGCCCGGACACCAACAGTCTTGAAGGGCTTTAGATACGTTTGTTAGGTATATGCCAGAAACTATTTTAATTATTTTCTTACAGCTGCAGGGAGATTGCAGATTTAATATAAACATGGGTAAACGCTTCCATCAAACTTTTAACTGACCCTGCAGGAAGATTGGTTAATTATCGTGGCTTTAAGGTCATAGCACACTCATCAACCTAGAGAGGGATAAACACCCCGTATCGCCATATTTTGTTGCTCTGTCAACCGCGAAGCGAGTCGTTTACATATGGTGCGGATAAATGTGTGTTACAGTAAGTAGTTTCATACAAATAATACTGACCGCCTCGAGTTGATACGGTTGCTCTCCGTTTCTGGGTTGATAACTGTGCCTCGTCCTTTATGCGGAATCATGGATTACTCTAGCATTCACTTATGTGCATTGATTTTTCTTTGCAAAGCTTACAGAACTGTGAGCACGGAGGCTCTGCCAGTCCTGGCTGGTGTACTGCCGGTCGACTTAGAGGTACAAAAGCGTGCGGCTATGTACTTCGCATCAAGGGAAAATATAACCTCTGATTTCTTAAATAGCCGCGATCGTTCTAAAATAAGTCGATTATTTGATTCCCGAGAAGTCGTTGAAGAAGATTTACTTAATGAATGGCAAAAAAGATGGGATACGTCAGTCAAAGGACGTCACTTATATAAATTCTTCCCGAATGTACGCGAACGTCTAACTAGGCGATGGTTAGAAATCGACCATTGCTCGTCGCAGTTCCTCACGGGACATGGCAACTTTAAACATAAACTTCACGAATTCAAACTAGTTCCGTCTCCTTTTTGCGAGTGTTCCACTGATGATGTCAGTCATGAGCAGTCTGCCCATCATATCTTGTGGGAGTGTGATCTTTGGAAACATGAACGTGATATAATGCTTAATTCAATACAACATACATCTGTTTCCGCAATTTATTACACCGATCTTGTCGCGACAAGGAAAAATTTCCGTGCTTTTAAGCGATTTTGTGAAAAATATTATTGGCAGGTAGTTGCTAATTGCTCATAAGATAGGCCCCCTTAATTTAATTTATTGTCCGTGGTGCATAATCTTTTTCTTAAAGGTTTTAAACCTTTGTTTGTCACCTGTCATCCGCTTTGCAATGGAGGGAAGTCGAACCTTAATTTCGAACTCCTCCTATGTTCTTCTGATTAATTTCGTTGCGGGTCCAATGACAGTTTAACTTTCCCCCGGGACAAACTTGACCTTCGTCTCTCAAAGCTTCTTTGGAGAAGTAAGAGAGTGTCGAAATTGAGCCACTGTAATTGCTTTTTTTCGTGGGACAGTTTTGAAAGGCTATTTAAAACACTTAAAATATGAAATATCACATTTCTTTCATATCATTTGGAAGTCTTATTTAATGTATTTTATGGCTATACTATTTTTAAATTACTAGAATCCCCGAGAAAGAAGGAATAACACAATTTATGAGTAGAAATAGAGTTAGGACGCGCCACCGCTATTAGATTTTGGGTCTTTGAAAAATTTTTTAGTACATAAAATAACTACCTATTGTCCTGAAGACTTTGCTATCGTGTAAAACGCTGTATAAACTACATACAGAAAAAAAATCATCGCTCTAGTTACATTTCTCCCATCGATTCTCAGTTCCGCCGCGTAAAAAACGTGTTTGGGATATTCACCCAAATAATTAATTTCGGTCAACAAGCCAAACTACTGAAACAGCGCTTGATCGCTTATAAATAATGTCGAAGTCGTCCTAAAGTAAGGTGTACGGATGCAGTATGGTTAAGTTCAACATAGCGAGTGTTATTTATTGCCAAAATCGCGAAATCTTATGCGTAGTAGGTATACATCGATGATATTTTGTATGTAAATAATTCCAAACAAAACTCTTTTTTTCTCTTAACTCCAGGGATAGATTTCAGTGCGCTCCGGTTTACAAATTAGTATTGGCCTGAGGAACAAAATGCACTATAGTTTCATTCTGGGCAGCACTTGGTCCTACTTCTATACATGGATTGGCACTGTCCTTTAAATGTTTCTCAGGAAATGAATTATTGTTAATTCTTATGAGAAATAAAATTCTTAAACCGTTAAACCGTAAAGAGTAGTTCATTATTAAGTCGCCAAACCAAGGTGTGATTGCAGAATTGAAATTGAATCCTTAACGTGATGCTTAAAATTTAATATCTGTCCGATGTCCCTATATGATTTAAGAAAAGTACTATTATGAGGTAGGTAGAGTTCGAAGTCTCATGAACTTTAAACATAAAACATCTTACAAGCAACCAACACCTGAAAATGAGTTCTTTCATCCAACCTAACTACTAATACAATTTCACTTCACAGGTACCAACGGTGGTCAACAGTAAGACCTCTTGCATTTGAAATTGAAATCTAACGTTTGAACGTTGAACCATTTTAAAACTGAACAAAATATTACACGAGCTTGAAGTTTCTCATAGTAAATACTTCACTCGTTTCCAGAACTAATTTCGTTCCATGCTTTTTGATTAAAGTTCCTTTGAGAGATTCTGCAGCGAATAGGTTTCTGAAATCTTAATACTACTAATACGATGAAAGAGGAAGATAATTCATCAATATAATATTTCAGTCAGACTAATCTCTGCGCGAGGCTTGGCCCTTGCGGGTTTCTGTCTGTCGCGGATTTAGACCGCCTTCACATTAGAGCGTCAGAAGCGCGACAGAAGCGCGACAGCAGCGCGACAGAAGCGCGACAGCAGCGCGACAGCGGCGTTTTGTGAAGGAAAGCAAAAATTATCCATTAAAAGATACTTTTACTTCGTTCGTTCGTTCGTTTCAGCCGAAAGACGTCCACTGCTGGACAAAGGCCTCCCCCAAGGATTTCCACAAAGACCGGTCCTGCGTCGCTTGCATCCAGGTACTTCCCGCGACCTTCACCAGATCGTCGGTCCACCTAGTGGGAGGCCTGCCCACGCTACGTCTTCCAGCTCGTGGTCGCCACTCAAGAACTTTCCTGCCCCAGCCCCATGGTTTGCGAGGCGAAAATTGGTACAGGGAGGTCCCTTTCTATTATACATACTATAACTTTAGGCTAAGTTGCTTGTAACATAGTGTATTTAAAATAGCGGCACCTATCCCACTGGGGCATGTATCCTGGAATTACCCTAATCGAAAAAGAAGGGGCACTTTACAATGTAATGCTCGTAATGCCGTCCGCGTCCACACGTTCGTGTTAGTTAAACATTACACGTAATCTTACATTACACATTATCCGTCTGAACCCAGCTTTAGAAAATAAGCAATCTCCCAGTTAAAGTTTCGTTAAAAATGTTAAAATCCAGTGTTCGAAGATTAGCCAAAAGAAAAGATGTAAGTAAATATTTTGTAAAATTAAGCTTTTCCTACCTACTATGTTGTTACAATAACTTCGAATCGAACATACATTTCACCTTTTTTAATCAATTTATTTTAGAATCGAACTTATCTATACTTATAATAAATCTGTAGATAGGCAATTCTGTACATGAAATATATTTTCAAAATAACTATCAGGGGGTGATTAGTGATCGATACTGATGCCAAAATTGCAATCAGTAAAATTTTTGTCTGTCTGTATGTTCCTTATAGAAACAAAAACTACTCGACGGATTTTAACGAAACTTGTGGTACAATTATTCTTCATACCTACTACTGGGCAGGTTATAGTATACTTAGGAATTCCCACGGGAACGAAAATTAGCGGGAAAATCCTTTTGTATGAAAGGAAAAATCCTTTTGTACCCTTTGCACCACCGGCCTGCACCACTGGTGGTGCAAAGGGTATTTTTAAATCCCTCTTGCACCACCAACAAATAGTGCTGTGCTACCATCGACTGTAAAACTAGTAGTAGACTGACTAACTAAAATACTTAATAATTTAAATTTAATTGTTATAAATAAATCAAAACCTACCTAAAAGTTTTAATTTGTGTGTCTATAAACATTTCACTTCAGACCCACAATACCCCGGGCCTACATCCTACATACAACGAATAAAGTACCAGGGCAACATAACCATAAAGGAGCTATTTTATGATACATGTTTATTTCTCGGGTCAACCAAGAAGAATTTGATATAGCTCCTTTATGATTATGTTGCCCTGGTACTTTAGAAATGATTCGTTGTATGTAGGTATGAATGGTTGTTAGTAATTTTTATGTTAATATGTTGTCAAATCTGTCCAGTAGTTTCGGAGCCTATTCAATCAAATCTTTCCTCTTTATAATATTAATATTATATGATTATAGATATCTAATCGTTTTACAGTTAATGGTAGGGCGGCACTATTGGTGGTGCAAAAGGGATTAAAAAATACCCTTTGCACCACCAGTGATGCAGACCGGTGGTGCAAAGGGTACAAAAGGTGAAAAATCTAAACCGCTTAAGTTA